ATATTGCCATAGTTGCCACGCTTGGTGAGCTGGTGGCAACCGCAGTTTTTTTATTGTTGTTTTGCTGTTATCAGAAAGATGCTGCCACTCATCTTTTGACTCAGTTTCCCTCTGTCGCCTCTTACGACACCCACGGGAAGATATGGGGTAGTGGGTATTCTTACCCGCCACTACACTACTTAGTTAGAGTATAGAATAAAAAAAAATTAGACCATCAAGAGATTATTAATAAGAACGACTTTACTAACCAGATGTCACTTTACACCCAAACATTAACCAGATGTCACTTTACACCGAAACATAGTCTATTTTAACCGACTCCCAAAAAGGAGAGGTTGTCAATTTACACTGATTTCTAAGACGATTCTAGATCAATTCGTATATACATCCTGAAATTTTAGTGGTTGTTTTCTCGCAGCCAAATTATACTGTCTCGACAGTAGAGTCAATTTATTAAAATAAAAAAATATTACAATTAAAAAGAGCAGATTTACAATAGTAATACCTCACGAGCTAGTCGGGCGTCCAGACTTGTTTATGTCGTACCACTACGCTTGAGAGTTCATGCTCTGAAAAATTTATTAGTGGTCTTTCATTGTGTAGACAGCGTGGGGTAGCGCGTGCGATAGACGTAACACCGAAACGCCACCAAATTAATATTTTATTTCAGACTTTATTATAGAATACGGTATAAGCTAGCCTGCTCGCTCGACCTACTTGCGAGATATTGCTATGGGTTTGAGATCACATTCGAGTTTTGTTTTTCTCGATTGTAAATCTGCCATTTTTGCATCATTTTTATTTTAATAAATCTATTACTACCAAGGTAAAATCATTTGACTTCGGGAAAACAACCATTACAATTTCAGCGTGTATATTGGATCAATCTGTATGTACATCCTTTCAAATAAAAAAAACTAAATCAGTTTAGAAATTATGGAATTCTGAGGTAAAAAAGTAAAAAAATACACCGAATTGAGACCTTCCTTTTTTTGAAGTCGGTTAAAATTAAACATTTCACGATGTGCTTATTGTATTCAAGCAAATTAATTGTGTTTAGTAATATTCTTAAATTTTATTACGTCTGCGTTTTTGTACCATTAAAATATGTATAATAGTTAATTAGTTAATAAGTGATATTAGTACCAACATTATCGTGGTTATTCCATTTATTATAGTCTTCGTACGTAATAAGTAGTCTTTATTACATTGATTATTTAAAATTAATCAGTAAAATAGTGATTTGCACAATTTGATTGCAAACGCCAGAAACTGGTATCACTGAATGGCGTGTATGTGTGCGTGTGACGAGCGTAGGCACATTCGACTCGCGCCTACTAACATAATGACCTTGCGTCACTTTAACGCTCGTGTTTTGTACTACACTGCGTTTCTACTGGGTAATAATTCTATGTACAGATCTTTAACTTTGTCATTACGGCGTAACCTTTTACAAGTTTCGGTGGGAGCGTACGTAAGCCGCGATTGGACGAAAACGTATCTTTAATCTTCATTATTACAAATTATTTACATAAAAATATTTTCGTCTTCTACGACAAGTTCGGAATTCATTATTATTGAATTTAATTGTGTAAAAAATTATCATTCTAATGAACAGGTTTTTATTAAATAAACTGTTGGGAAATAAGGACAGGGTACTATGAAACCGATTTTGTTTATTTTTTTGTAAATTAAATCAGCTACTTTGCAGTTTATGTGTTCTTTTTTAAAGTAACAACGAAAAATCGGTTTCAACACCCTCAAAAACCATGAAAATGACATCCATGACGAAAAAATTAATACCAATTGCAGCCGGCATCTTGGATTTACATTTCAACAGCACTATCGGCTTCAACATACTCAAAAACTATGAAAATGACACTCATGACGAAAAAATTGATACCTATTGCAACCGCTATCTTGGATTTACATTTCGACAGCACTATTTGCTTCAACACCCTCGAAAACCATGAAAATGACACCCATGTTTTTTATTAGTGATCAATGCACCCATGACGAGAAAATATATACCTATTGCAGCCGCCATCCTGGATTTACATTTTGACAGCACTTTCGGCTTCAACACCCTCGAAAACCATGAAAATGGCACCCATGACGAAAAAAATAATACCTATTGCAGCCACCATCTTGGATTTACTTTTTGTTACCACTATTGCACTATCAGCTTTAAATAGCCTCAAAACCGCCGCATTCTGGATTTACAAATAAATTCACGAATTCATTATGATCGATCACAAGGATCATTATAATTCGATAACGATTATAACAATGAAAATAAAAATTATTCTTCCCTTTCAAAATCAGCAGGAAGCTTAAAATACGATAGCTACGGTTTTGATGAAGCCGAGTTCAAACAGCCGTATACTACGCAATACGTTCGTGGCATTTTTAAAAAGTTTTGACGCGACACTCGCTACTGAGAGCACCGCGACGAGCGCTTAGAAGTCTCGTCGTTGCGCATGTTTGTGTGAGTGTTCCGTTTCGGACGTTTGTATCTAGTTTCCATACTGTTCCTACTATATATTTATACTGTGCTAAGTGGTTGCGAATAGTTGTTTTCGTCCTTCTATCACTAAGTCAATAAGTAGGTCTAATAAATGTGTGCATTAACTAGTACGTTTCTCACGACTGTCGATAAGGTTTTTGTTATTTTATCCGCTGTAGTACATTTTCATAGCTAATAATAAGCATGATGCAATAACTCAGCGGCGGCCGTGTGACTCATTTACCGTATTTGCATAACAAGTGCACATTTGATCTAAATAGGTAATAAAAGTAATAACGTTGTTTCTACGACGTATTCTGCTACCTGATCGACGAGAAATATTTCAATAAATGTTGTTTTCTGGTACGGATTTTTGTCTGCACAGATTTAAATTTTCGGGAGTCACGATTCTCAATTAACAAACAACGAAACACAATAATAACGCAACAAAAATGCTTTTAGATTTTTGAAAAATTCGGGCAACAAACAAAAGATTGCTTTGAAGTAAAAGTAGAGATAATGTACCTATGTATTATTTGAGACAAAAGCTTGTGTTGCAGATTACTTATATTCGAGTTATTAAAAACATATTCAGTTCTCTTGTTTTAATTATCGTGCGGATATAGTAGTAGTGGATTTTATTTCGATAGCAACGTATCCAAATAAAGAATTTAAAAGAGAATCGAGTCACTGTATAATTTTATTAAGTCATGAATTTTTAATCTTTCGTACTTACTAATCTAATCAATCGGTAAGTAAAGGTTAATTATAGTTCTCCAACGATATAAATAGAATAATAATATTATACGCAAAGGAATCGTATCAACGCAAACGATCTTGTTAAATATTTCAACCATTAAAGTTTCACCGTAATTTTATTATTATTGACAAAAAAATTCAAAACGTCCGAGCGATTGTTTCATTTAGGTATCTTTTTCACAGCGTCGTCTTGCGAATTATTCAATATTAATCGACGAGTATTTGAGGCCCGGCGTCGTAGCTAGGTCGCTGGTAGGTTACGTAGACAAGGGCGGTGACCTTGGAGCCGCCCCCGCGTCTTCACTCCCCATAGCCCGAGGCGCTATGCCCCCACCCCAACCACCCCACCCCAGCCCATAGTAGGGGGTGAGATGTGAGCTGACTTTTGAGAATGTATTCCTTTGACGGTTGTCGGTAGGTACGTAGTTTATTCATGTCGAACTCTGGAAGCGAAGCCGACGAGAATTTTTATTGTTCAGACTTGGACACCCTTTTGTTTTTTTTTTGCGTTATGAATGTGTATTTTTAGATTTGTTGCCAGCGTTACTTTGCGAATTACTTTTTTTCTAACTGCTAGAGTTTATATACCAGTTTTATTATCGTAATTTTAACTTTCGTAATTTTAACTTTTACCACATGTTAAATGAAATCATTAATCTCTCGACTACTGCTACTACGACTAATTTTAAAAAAAAGGAATTTTACTTTTTCTGTGTACTTCATTGTAAGTAAAAACATGCCTGTTTTGTAGTGCTATTTTAGAACTTAACACCAGGCCTTGTATAAGACAATCTTATGTAGATATTTGGAGGAAGAAAAAACATATAAAATATAAATTTGTTAAAAGTGTGACTTCTTTTCATAACTTATATATAGATTGATATAAATATTGTTAAGTGAGCACAAATATAAACCGAACATAGAGTCCACCTGGTGGTAAGTGGCTACTGCAGCCTGTGGACACCTGAAGCGAGTTGCAAATAAAAAAATACTACAAATACGTTTGTCACCTCCGAGGGCAGACGGAAAAACATAGCAGTGCTAGTTCTACCATTTGGCGACAAATAGGGGTAAGGGTGGTACTTACCCAGAGGAGAGCCCTACCACCTACAATTAATTTTGTTAATTTCAATTTTACGTGCCGATTTGCCATTTACTTGGCTCGAGATATTTCGTAGACATTCATTGAGTTAATGCGGTTGACTTATCTCAGTAGGTTTTTGGGCACAGGGCCAGTCCCTGCTGTGGGAACCATGTTTGCTGGTGGTTAAATTTGACCTGCCAAAAACCACCATAAAATTTGATAGATATAATAGATACGCGTTAAATGATATTAATGTTTTACTTTTGCCTTACCTTTTTACAATTTTTTTTCAGGACGTTATTGACCCTCTTCCGGTCCATAGAATGATACTTTATTTACATAAGTTAATTGTCAAACTTCTCAAAAAGTTTTTTTTAATTTTTTATTCTGTAAATAATTTAAGGCACATTTACCGCTTAGCGTATGTCAGTCCCATCATACCCTAACATACATGACTTACTCACATAACGTTACTTAATACTTATTATACTACGTGGGCCATGGATTCTAACAGAACTTTCGCATCGTCGCCATTTGGTTGGGATATAATATTCTCAAAAAGTTGTTCATGATAAATATAAAATGTTTACACGTAGGAAAATAATTAGCTAGTTTGTGCTATCTCTACATCATTAAAATTGTGTGTTCCAGGTAAGGCCGTGTCCAATTCGTTCAGTAGCAACTCTGGCACCGAGCCGTCAAAGGTGTAAACTGGTGAGTCATTTTCGGCTTTTACAATAATTAAAACCCCTAGCTCGCTCCTCGCCGTTTTTTCCTGTCGGCTAGTTTATGATTTCACGACGTACTTTTAACATTAACTAAATTAATTATATTGCGCGTGAACCTGGCCATGTTTTATATCCTTCAGGATATAAAACATGCCATTATAATGATACACTAGGTCGTTGTGGTCTCACAAAAGATATATTATTGATGTATTAATTTTTTTTAAATTGTGTAACTAGATGTACGAAAACTCTCTATTGTATTGTGCTTGTATCGGTTTTGAAACTAGCAGTAGATATCCGGTCGTTCGGCTCTATTGTTACGTAAATATCATACAGTTCAGCTATTGGAGCTGAACTGTATGATTATACCCTGTACACAGGCAGAGCCACTACTGACCTGTCTGATAGGATTATCGATGTGCTCACAAGGGCTTGCTAGCCGGCAACCATTTGTCTTTAAGGAACACATATATGTTAGATTTATTTACGAACAAATAAACTTCAGTTATATGTAAACATATTCATTATGCTTTGTATAAGTATCGCATTGTGATTAATGATCACATTTAGAATTTTATTAAAAGAAATCACTTTTTCGAAATTTTATTTCCAAATTAATCTCGATAGTTGTCTGTCCACTACTGTGCGTTTCGAGAAATTTTATAACAAACACGACCAGAATATACAATTTACTGTCGCCAGCGAATTTTCCAGACCGATACGATTTAGGTACCCTCAAGAGCCTATCTAAGCACACAACGCACCTGCAATACCACTGATGTTGTATATGTTTATGGGCGGTAGTTGTCACTTACCACCAACGTTTAAATGGCAAATATTGCAAAACGTTTGTGGAAAGAAGATGGAAAAGAAGTGACAATTAAGAATTGTTTTAACATATTTTTTCAAAAAAGAAGAACCACAAACAAAATTTCAATTGGATTGTGTATGCAATAAAATTGTCTGAGACATAAATGGATGCGATTTAAGTGTTATTGCCTTTTAACAAACAAATATATAATATAACACATCAGCATTATTTTGCTGTTTTAAGCTGGTATTGTATGAGAGCGTGGTCGTAACTCTGCGAGCCCGACCCATTGGTGTTAGAACCATATAGCTGTAGCACGAACCTCTCGGAACTAAGAGAAGGTACATATTATGTAGACTATAGGACGTATAGGCTGTTACTTTTTCACTATGATTAACCGTGCTGCAACTATATAAAGCTAGCAAAGCTGCAAAGAGGCTCTACATAATATACATAATATATGAGGATGAGGTATAATAGTAAATAAACTTTTACTATCCAGAAATGCAACAGTACAAGCAGAATCCGGATTAACTATATACATATATATATATATAGATACTGAAAATACTATACTTTATCAACAGTTTTATGATGAAATTCCTGAATATAATAAAATTCTTAGTGGAATGACGACACATAATGGAAGAGGACTTGCCAAAGTCGGACCAATCATTAAATACGAATTCTGCCGTCCAAATCTATTTTGGAATCCATTTATTTTATTGCTTTATAATGTATGTGTTTAGTTCACATATTAATAATTTAATTTTATCATATTATTTACGAGTATAACTTTTATGTTATGACAGCTTCTTGAAGTTTTGGCTGACATTTGTAGTATTTATATCTCTTATGTCCAAATGCTCAGACGCTACTCAATTTTAAGATGCTGTTAAGTCTCATGCTGTCTCTATCACTTAAAGTCAATGTGACTGTGACACCACGAGACTTGACGACATCTTAAAATTGAGTAGCGTTTGAGTATTTATTGTTTTTACCTATACTTTTGTTTCTCCAGCGAAAATAAAACGTAATAACTGTTTCCTCGGTCAAATTGCGACTCGCGATGACGTGGTGTTAGTAAAAACGCGTCATATTTTTACATTTATGAGAGTTTTACCCTCATTCGTAAACTAATGTTTTTCAGAATGTTCACTCATTAAGAATTTATATTTACTATATAATTTAAAGTTTTCCCAAACTGTTACGACGTGGGGTTCTCGAGGAAAGTGCTGCGAAAACCTTCGCTTATGGTGACCTGGTTAACTCTCAGAACACAGTGTTACAATTACAACACAGTGCTATTTTACATATTACGTGGTACGTTTGCGTTTGTTAAAACTAATCGATTTTTTTCTATATCGTTTATATTAATTAGAGCCGTTTACTTTACAACGCGGGGGTCCGAAACTAAGACTTCCTTTGCTCATAGAAAATTATCTAAACCCGCGATCGCGCCTGTTTACGTCGGGCTCGTGTTGCAGAACAATCGGCGTCCCCGTATTTGTAACACACAGTTCGGTCCCCATTATTATTAGTTACATAGGTATTATTGTAAAGAGGAAAATGTACATCGAAAAGCCCAGTTACGCGAGGACATGTCAGTGCTGTCTATTGTGCTAGGGTTGTCCTTGTTAGATTTTTTGTGTACCATAAACATATAATTATATAAACTTTTCGGTTGTCGGTTAAATTAAATTTAATTATTTTATTGTTTCATATTCCTATAATTTGTTGTAATTTGTAAGAAAGGTAATTACAGAATACCTACAGCACTGTTTGTCTATCCATTGTTAATAATCTTAATTTATGCGGATATAAAAACTAGTATTGATTCGTTTGTTGCAACCACGTGCCCAGTATAAAGAATTCGATTTTTTTTACACGTTCTATTGGATAAGGGTAGGGGCTTTGTCATTTTCGGCCGAGCGCCCCAATTTCCGGACCGGTGCCAAGCGAATTGTCAAAAAAAGCATTGTAGTCCCCTACATGCATACGTTATGCTTCATTAGCGCTTGTGGTTGCATTAACAATTCATATTTCATTGCTTTATGAGTTATATAAACATATTTTTTACATATCTTCTATATTTTCTACTTATTTTTCCGGCATCAGTTTCAAAAATATAAATAGCGATCCGCCCCAGCTTCGCACTGTTGATTTCTGAATTTCGACAACAACGCCACCTACCGGGTCCAATTGTTCCATTCTCTAATCAACTTTATCACACACAAAATTTCATCAAAATCGCTCCAGCCGTTTAGGAGGGATTCAGTCACGTACACACGGACAAAAGAATTATGTTATATATAAAATGCATGTATTATACATATAAACCTGCCTCTTGAATCATTCTGTATATTGATTAAAACCGCATCAAAATTTGCTGCGTAGTTTATAAAATCTAAGCGTACGGACGGTGGGAAGAGACTTTTTTTATACTGTGTGAAATTAATTCCGTTTTGTTTTGGTTTTATCGGAGAGCGTTTGTGCTGAGTGAAATTATTAAAAAATAATAATCAACAACAACATTCGTACACAGGCATGGATATAATTTTTACCTGAAAGTGCGACGCGGCAGAATATGTTGATTAATAGGCAACAGCAAGCTCGTGTAGCCTAGCATTAAGCAACAGGAATACACTTTGCGATTCCGATGTTAATGACGTGAACAGGAGACGAAATACTTTTAATAATCTTCGTTGTTCATAGAACATGTAATTAGTTATTTGCAAAATAAATTTGGTTAAAATTACTTTGACTACATCCACTACTGACTACGTAATTTTTACCAACTTTAATATAATGGATTTCCACAAAGTAATGCCTGATTCTATTATTAATTAGTTTGCAGAATCGCTTGGTTATTCCCAAAAATAAAGAACTTTCTGAATCAATTCTGATCATATCACATTCCAATAAAAGTGATATTATAAACATTTTTTTTCTGTTATCGATAAGGAGAGACCATATTGTTATTGGTAACATCACATTTTCAAATATTTTCTTCAATAAATGGATGAATGGGTGAAAAATATAAAACATTTTACGAGGGTAATTTGGCGTGGTCGTTACGGCATCTCTTCAAATCATGTCGGGCGCTCGCGGCGACTAAGATTGCTTATACACGCCTATTCACTGGCGCTGACAGTCGCACTCGGCGACGGCGACCGCAGATGGACCAATTTAGAAGATTCGTTTTGTACACGTTTCAATAGGCGTCTAGTGGGAATTTCCGCCCGTATATTTCCAAAGCCCGTTTATTTGTGATTCATTGGGCTAAAAACGAACTGTTCCGTTTAAGAAAAAAATTGGTTAATCATATGAACTGAACTATCAGTTTACCGCGTCGAGGACAAATCATTTTTTATTTGATTAACTTGTTTTAATTTTAACAAGCACGTTTTTATCCATACAAATGTGTATGGTGTCAATACTAAGATTAATAATTAAAATGTTTTTCATTCCCATCACTAGGTTTGGGGCTTAAAAGCTCCTTTTTTACTAGATGTTCACTCACACTGAAGGGTACAGAGAACCACTATAATTACAGGTTGTGTCATTTCATCTTCGTCATCACCGGTAACACGTGCATCGTTTTTTTTTGTTTAATTTTGGCACTTACTTAATATGCCCGTTAGCTACACAACTAACGATCAGATTTACGTTAACGTCTTTAACATCTAACATAATGTTCATTCTTTTACGGTGTTGGGGACACGATAACGGACTACAATTCGTATGCTCCATTTTACCTTCGCTTTGACATTTGTGATTTGTGTAGGTGACGCGCGATGCAAACATTGTTATCAGATACTATATTGTTGCGCAATTCCCGGCGTTATTAAATACACACGTATTATCTCGGCGTTCGAGAAGTTTCCGCGCGGCCGCGTGTCGACGTAACTCGGTGTGTGCCGATAACGACGCTCAGGTCTGCCAGATGTAGGCTTTTTTTGCTGTAATTATGTTGTAGGGTTGTCGATATTATGATGTTTCGTATTGAATACTAACAACAATTGAATCTCCGGTGACCGACAATTCGTCGTCGACGCCGCGAAGGGGCGAACCTCAATTTTTCAAAAAATTACAGGAGAGCAAGAAAACGTTTATTATAGTGATGCAACGAATACGAATATACGTATTCGCCGAATAGTAGACATTTACCGAAT